TTTCAAATTCCATTACTTCTTGTTACTTAGATTTGGGCTTTCAGGTACTACTATGCACGGCTCTAGTGAAGTAAAGGGTTCCGCTGGTAGAATTTATACGTGCCTTTTTGGATCCAGGCAGCCTGAGTTCTTTAATAACAAGCGATTGACTAGAAAGATTGAGTTTGTCAAAAAAGAAAACAAATGTGATAATTTCATGTTTGGGTGCGTCAAACACTCTTATGAATGGTGTTTCTCAAATTAGATTTACTCATTTTTCGTCAAATCCTTTCTTTGGAAAGTCTGTCTACGTTGTCAAGAAAATAGTTTAATGAAGAAAATACTCAAGTTCAATGAAGAAAACTATCAAGAAAATAGTGTTTTCGGTCCCTTGGGTTTCATATCTCCTTGTTGATGTTTATGAAAACCTTTCAGGAACTGTGGAAAAACAACTTAACATGGGATCAGTCCATCTCAGAAGACATAACAACGAGATTCGCAGATCCTTTCGCAGAGAATTTCCTCTAATCCAATAACTAAAAATACGTAGATGTTTATTGAAAACACAAAGTGTTGATCTAGAAATTCATGCAGTGATGCTTCTGAAAAGCCTTATTTCAGCGTGATGTATGTAAGATATATTTCAGAAAATTCAGATACACACGTTTCTTTACTTACCTCTAAAACAAAGGTTTCACTTCTGAAAACCCATTTTCTGCCAAGTCTAGAATTATGTTAGGCTTTATTGCTAGCAAATGTGTTGCATGTAGTCTTAACAGACATTCCTTTACCAGTTAAACGCATCATAGCTAGGATAGATTACACGATAGCGCTAGAGTCGCTGAACCTTATCGCTGGCAGTCATTTGTCGCAAATCGAGTGTCCAAGATTCAGACGATAATTCCTCCAGCGAAATGGTGTCGTGTTTCAGGAATCGATAACCCAGCTGACCTAGGTACGAGAGGTATCTTATCTTCTCAACTAACAAGTTGTAAAAAGTGATTCAAAGGCCCTGACTGGTTACGCAAACCTATAGATGAAATCGAGAAACTTCCATTTGAGACACTGTCTTTTCACGAAATTGCCTTGAAGGAAGAAACGAATGTTTTAATGTTAGTGTTTTAGGAGTTCCAGAACTTGCTGTTATTTTAAAATATTCTTTGTGGTCCAAATTACTTCAAGTCTTGGCCTACTGTCTAAGATTTGTGAATAACTTCTCATCCAGAGAAGAAATTGTTAGATTTTTCTAATTACAGAAGACCTCGAGAAAGCAAAAATCAAAGTTCTAAAGGTGATTCGACGTTCTGAATTCCAGGAAGAAATTTCATATTTACTTAGATATTAAAATATGTAGTAAGATCCTCTGCTTATACCCATTTCTAGACAAAGAAGGTGTTTTGCGTGTCGGTGGTCGTTTAAGAAATGCTAATATTCCGGAAGATGAAAAAAATCTAATTCTTCTTCCTAAAAAGTATTTCATCAGCGAACTGATCATTAAATATTTTCACCTAAAATATTTACATGCTGCACTTCAGTTATTGATGTGTGTACTGAAACAATACTTTTGGATGATATCTGCTCGATCATCCATTCGTAAAGTCCTGAACAAATGAGTTATCTGTCAGCGATATAGAGCTAAACTTCCCATACAAATCATGTCCGATTTACCTATCTCACGTGTTACAGATATTAGACTATTTTATAGTCTCACTGGATCTTTTATGATCAAACACCGAACAGAACATGGTTAAAGGTCTTTCAAATCCTACGTGTGCATATTTGTATGCTTTTCGACGCGTACTATCCATTTAGAAGCCGTCGAAGATCTTCCTTCTAATGCATTCTTAGAATCTCCGAAACGATTCATTGCGAGAAGAGGTAGACCAGTAGAGATTTTTAGTGATTATGACGCTAATTTTAAAGGAGCTGATAGAGAAATCTAGAAATGTGTTTCAAAATATGAACGAGAGCAATCAGTTCGAGCTTATATTGCCTCCAAAAGTATAAAATGGATCTTCAGTCCTCCAGCATCCCCTCACTTTGGCGGTTTGTGGAAATCGGACGTCAAGTCGATGAAACCTTCGTCGAAATGCAGGATCAGCAATACTAACATATCCAGAGTTCACTACAATCATCACTCAGGTCGAGTCCTGCTTGAACTCAGGTCCATTGCAGCAATCCCCTAGGATTCTACAGATTTTGAAGTTCTCACAAACAACCAGTTTCTGATTGGAGCTCCAGTTTCTACTTTACCAGAGCAGACGCTTTCGCAAGAACCTATCTTCTATAGACAAAGATGGCAATTGCATCAATCCGTCCTACAACATTTCTGGAAGAGCTAGGCAAGAGAATACCTTTTACAACTTCAACAACGTACGTCCTAAGTGGCAAAGATCGAAAAGATACTTTCAGGTCAACGATCTTGTTTTACTCAAAGAAGAAAACCTTTCAACCATTATTGTGGTGTAGAGGAAGAGTCATTAGACTCCATCATAGAAGTGACATTAAGATCCGTATGGTAACGATACGAACTGCACATGGAGAACTCAAGAGACCTATCGTTAAGCTTTGTTCTTTATTGAACCGCGAAACAAACTCTTAAGTATGATACACACTATTAATTCATATAGACTCTTGAATACGATTTTGATTAGTAGCTTCAAAAATCTTTGCATTTTATTATGTTTAAAAAGTTTGAGTTTAAAATTGTAATTAATTGAAAATGTGTTTCAATGGTGTGCGGGATGTTTAGGCCAAATTTTCAAAACTAGATGGCTACCAATGGCAAATGCAAATTAACTTGCTCGAGCTATATCGAGAGAGTAGAAAAAGATCGTCTACTGCGTTGGTGATCTTCTTTTAGTTTTCACTGTTCTTTCATTATTCAATAAATATGTTTTCATGAGTACAGTATATATATCGGTGCGCCGCCCAACGGTTCAAATTCCAGAGAAGGCATGGATGTTTGTAAATGTATAGTGTCGGTGCGACACTCTAAATATGCGGCGAGCCGAAATCCTCTCGTGTGGTTTGGTGAAAAGGAAGGTGGATGGGAGACCTTCGGACCCGTCCTCTCCGGGGTGCTGTCTATCAAAATTGGGGACGGAACTGAGCTAAATCGCACTGTCACCTGAATGGTGCTCGAGGCTGTTGCCAACGGCAGGTGTAATCTAGCATTCCTTGCCACGAGAAATTTCGTGAGCTTGGGCAGACTACGTCAGACAAGCAACATATGTGAGTGCATGGTTGATGGGATATTCAGAAATCTGTAAAACATTTAAAAAATTAAAAAAAAACAAAAAAAAAAAAAAAAAAAAAAAAAAAAGGAAGTATTGTAATCGCGAAAAGTTTCAGGCAGCATATTTCAACGAAAATATCCATTTTGACCGCTATCGAATGCAATTTAACGATGTTTTTGCGTGATATCTGTACGTAAGGACAGAATAAAAGACTTGTTTCCTCCAAAAAAAAATTATAAAACTGCCTTAAAATGAATTCTGAAGAGAATTTTTCGTGGCGTCTGTACGAACGTATGTACGTACGTGCGTACGTATCTCGCAAAACTCAAAAACGAGTAGCCACAGAACGTTGAAATTTTGTATATAGAACTGCTATAACATGTAGATGTGCACCTCGTATTTTGGTTGCAATCGGCCGCACCAAAAGTATATAAGTATATTTATATATATATCCACTTTGTTACCCGGCTCAGTGATCTCAGTTTCTTTACTTTTTATATGTTTGTAAATTGTACATTTTTTGCTTTAAAAATGATTGAATTATGTTGTTTTTATCTTCCGGTTAAGGGTTTTATGCCTTTAGTAAATCTGTGTGCAATATTTTTAGAATTATCAGCAATTTTAAAGTTGTTTAATTGCCGCTAAGCCTGTTTTTAATGGCGGCCTTTGATGTTTACATTTGAAACAGGAGACTAGTGGATTTGTTGCCAATCTAAAGAAACTTAGCTTCGCAACAACAAAGATAACGCATTCATTTATTATTGCCAATTAAATCATGCTTAATTCTTTCTGGAATTTTTTCGAGGAAATAAGCGTTTGAGATTTACTTCGTAATTTTTAATATTGATATTTTGAGTTTTTATGTATTTTTGCCTTCTCGCGAAGTGAGAACTGAATTAATTAAATGAGAAATACTCAATCATCTGTGAAAAACCGTTTCTTTTTTGTTTTGTTTGTTTAATTTCTTTTATACATCGTTCTAGCTTTATTATAGTATTTGAATAGAACATGTGGCAACGATTAGATAATTCTATTCTTTAAATGATGTAAATTTTGTGCATTCTGGGTTATAATATGAATGAAATATAATACTGTTAAGTAAACCTAGCCCCAGAATGTCACTATGGTAAACAAAAGTGAATTTTAAAGAATGCATTTATTTTATTGTGGTTTATGCGCTGTCGGCGAAGTAGGTTTAATTCAATCTAATAAGTTTAAATAAAATGCAAGAAAAAATGCGTATAATTTAATATTCCGTACAAGGAAGTCATGTGGTGTGCACATCAGATTTTTTAATATTAAAATTATTCTCCCATTAAATTGCTCGGAAAACAAGCTTTCGGTGCAATAGCTGTGAAAAATATTATTTTAATGTAGAAAAAGCATAAAAACTAATAATTTAGAATTGTTGGAAGTCGGCGTATAGTTGTCTAATCATTCTTAGAAAATATAGAGTAATTTATGAAGTGGTTTAGTAAAACTGTACAGTTTTAAAATAATCGCCTTTGTAAGCTGTGATGTATACATTCACATGCCTTGCTCTATATAATACTACAGTTTTAATAGTATATGCTTCAAGAGATTTCATGTACAAAAAGCATTTCTTAGAAATAATATCATGAAAACAGGTTAAGCGTAAATTTGCAGCATTTCCTCAATAACTTGTTTATGTGTAAAAGAACATTCAATAACAACGAAGCAGTTTTTAGTTCATCTGTAGATTTAGCAGAGGTAGACAAAAAAAGCAAAGAAATAGTAAGTTTAAAAAAAGAGCTGATGAGAGTTATGCGAAATCTTATCGCATTTTTCAGTCATACAAGATGGACATGTTTGGTGGGCTGCTCATTTTGGGATTTTCATTTATTGCTTTGAACTCTTCAAATAAATTCATTGAGATATATTTCGAAGACCTTTGTTATAACGTTATGGAAGAAAATCTAAGCTATGAGGATTCAATATTACATGAAAACGCGACATGGAGTTCAGAGTTTTCCACCGGTAAGTTTACGCAGTGCAATTCACTTTTTGTCCTTTCATGGTAAAAATGACTGTAATCTTAAAGCATAAACCTTTCAGATGGAAATTCGTTTAGAACTAATCCTCCTGATACCGATTCTTTCGCACCCTTGGATTTGTTAGATGAATTCCCCATCGACAAAAGTGAGTTTATTTCCCCTTTTTTATTAAAATATAACACAAAATATATTTACTAAGTTATTAAATCATTCATGTGAATCCTATGCCATCGTTTTAATGTAATGTATTACAATAAAACACAATTAAAAAAAAGGTTTTTATGCAGTATGATAGTTAATTCACTAAATGGAGAAAAATCATTTATCAGAGAGTTTAATGGGAATAATATTAAAAAATCTATTTACAGAATTCATATACAATTTTATATAGCGAATAATGAAAGCAGGGATAGCCCATGTTAAATTAAAAAAATAATGACTTGATTAAAAATTAATAATGATTAAAAAATAATGATAAATTTGATAATGTAATTAAATTAATAGATTTTCGTTATTTAGTTGGCCTTCGCTTTTATTATTCGCGATATAAAATTGTAGATGAATTCTATGAATAGAAGTCGTTAATTTATTATTCAATGTAAACAATATAATAAATTATTTTACTTCTTTTAGCGCATTAATAATTATATCACTTTTAAATGAAAGCTTATTACATAAAAATGTTTTCTATTAAGCGTATTTTATTTTCTGATTTTTAGTCTTAATTATGCATTATGAATGATGAAATTTTTAGTCATTGTTAAAATACATAAAAAAATATGAAGTAAAGAAAAATAACCGAACGTCATTCAGAGAATGAAGAAATCGCTTTGGAATTTCAATTTCGAAAATTGGATGAAATAAGAATATTGTAACGAGCATTTTTCTTGAAGCTAAAATGAGAAAACGAATATCTCTAATTCGCCATTAAGTGCGCCGGGATGGCTAACTTCCTCCTTAAGTGCACTAAAATGGCAAACCCAAAATGCTTTTTTCTTCCGTCTACTTCAGTCTGTAGCACATTTTATTTAATATAGAAATATTATATGAATTAATATTCTTTTACCATTATTATTTTAAAAGAAAGCGAAACATTTGTATAAATAATCTCTGCAAATTTCAGAATTTTATTTCTGATATATTTCTAAATGTCGAAATTTTTATGTCAAATACAGTAAACCCCCGTTAATACGAATCTCAAGGGACCAGAAAATCAAGAGCTTGTGTTAATAGAATTCGTGTTAAACGGGGACTCATAGAATACATTTTTAAACATACTAATCATTTACAGTATATAGGTTCATACGTATAGTATATTATGTATGTCTTAACAGAAAGCACTACAGTTACACATTAATTACAGTGGTGTATTTGTGGTGTATTTAATTATGGCAAAGCACACTAGGGCTATCTGCCTAAGGGGAGGGATGCCTTTCGTGGAGGACTTTCTAAGGGAAACTGGCTCGTATACACGTTACACATGGGGAAAACCACGAAAACGCCCATGCAGCCAGCCCGTTCGCGGGATTCGAACCTCGGACCGAACTACCAGTGTTCAGCGTCTTTACCGCTCGGCCGCTGGTGGGCCCATTAATTACTGTACTGCAACCTGAATGAATGCACTCACTCATCATTTTGTGATGAAAAATTACTAGACATTGCCCTGTTATATGGAACGAAAATGCCTGGTAACTAACAAGACCTACTGTGCTCATGCTTCCGTAAAACTAGCGATTAGTTCGTAATTTGCAGCAAAGCGTTCTGAAGTGTACAAGGTGTATAACACTTCTTGGCGGGTGGGTGGAATGATATTATCCTCCTGGACACTTCTTTCACGTTAGCCACAACTGCTTGTACATCAGATCTCCAAGTTGGCGTTTCTGTCACCATTTCAGCAGCGTGAATTTTATCTAATTTTTTTAAAATTGAGAATTAATCAAGATTTAGCATTTGGTTAACGAGTTAACTTAAAAAAATAATAAATAATAAAAAAAATAAAATAAAAAAGCCCATCTGAACACAGAATTGTATTTGTTATTCATTGTTGACACTATGATCGGGATTAACGAGCAGTGTTGTTTGTGCTGGTTAAGTTTTAAAGTATTCTGCGAGGTTTTCGCGGGACAAAACTTTTCTCAACGCAGCCTTAGCAGAAAATCAACAGGAAGAATTACAAAAAACTTTGAAAGTTCGTGTTAAAAATAACTACACAGAAAATGGTTCGTAATTTGTGCTAACCGAAATTCAAATTAACCGACAAAATTTCCTGTAAGATCATGTATATAGCTCTCGAGACCGAAATTTTGTTCATATTAACCAACTGTTCCTCTTAAGCGAGTTCATGTTAAGGGGGTTTACTGTAGTTTGGAAAATCGAGCGATTTTCCAAAATTCTCGAAAAATTCAGAAATTAAGCTAAATATTTCATTGAACAGATATTTTTCCGCCGCATTTGATGGGGAAAACTTTAAAAATTCTGATATGCTTAGTTTGTTCATTAAGCGAATATACATGAGAAAAATCGTTTAAACATTAAATAAAAATATTTTAAATCGAATTTTGAAAAACACGTTGTCATATTGCATTGTCATCGACAAACAATTGCGTGTTGAAAACTTGAACGCGATAGCTTATTACAAAATAAGCTAAAAATCGATGACAAAACTCCACTGACAGTGGAACACAATGAATGAATTAAATAACAGTTTAAATAAAGAGTTGCATTTTTGAAAAGGTATTAGTTTGGCTTTTAATGGAAAAGTATCTGAAAATGATATGTAAAGTAAAATTTGTTTAAATTATGTGCATGAACACAATCGCTAATTTGAGATCTAAATTTGCGGTCATAAAATTAGATTTCAATTTGAATTATTAGTTGAACATAAAATTCTATTCATGGTCTAATAATAATGCGGTATCTTTATATATTAATTTTATTGGAGTTCAAATTAATTCCTGGAATTCTAGTACTTACTTTTGCCTTTATGTATGCATTATGGATTATATTCGTTTACGAATTCAATAGAAATATATCAATATAATTCTTCATGTATTTATATTTAGAGGTTTATTCGAACATAATTCATTAAATATAGAATGTAATGTTTGTAGAATAATAGAAGGAAAAAAATAAATGCAACATGCAAACTTCATCTGCAATAAAATGAATTAGAGCGAGGATTAAATCGGAAGCACTTTGAAGATGACACAAGTGTTATTTATTGCCATCTGTTGAAGGAAGGAAAAACACAAAATGCAAGAATTTAGGTGTATAGCATTGATGAGTTCTGTGAATAGAAATAAGATTCGTCGGATTTTAATGGATAAATACATTTAAAAAAATACAGTTCTCAAACTGAAAATTATTTTAATATATCAAATAGATAATAAAACAGCAATAATAAACACATTTTGAACGTGATTTTCAATATAAATTTTAAATTTATTTGTGCTTATAAATACTGATATTATGAACAATCTTATAACTAGTAAAAAATAGTTACTTTGAAACTCATGATGGTATATTGTTTCTAGCCTTTGAGGTCAAGTTATTAAGCTCACCGTAAAAGCAATTTGAACACAGAATCATGCTCCTAAAACCAATTTCAGGACAATCATCAAGACGTGCTGACCTGCTGAAAGTGACAATCTGCATCATGGAACACTCATAAGCAAAGTTAACGAGATCGGCAACGTAAGGTGCAGTTCTCAAAGTTGTTTCTAGACGCATCAAGAGACCCACTGTATTCCAGGAAAATATTGCCCAGGTCGATTCTATAGAAGAAGTAAGGTGAAAAATTATGAAGTAGACAAGAGGGTTCCATGAATCCTCTCTATTTATAACAAATTCTGTCTATGTCATATGTTTGGTGGGGTAAAAAACGAGATTCATCGGACCAAGCAGTTTTTTTTTCTCTAGTCGTCAGGGATCCAGGTTCCTTTATCGTAATTTTCTGCTTTTCAGTGATAGCATGATAGTCTTGACGATCTTTTGCTACTAACATCCCTTCGATGCAAAGTCTGTCGTGTTCTGAGTTAGTTTAAAGTCTGTTGTCGTGTTTTTAATTACTCTGAAATTTGCACAGACCTTTACCTGGTTATGTGGTTGTTTTTCTGCTGCTGCAGATGGTATTTCTTTCATGAGCGTTATCGATTGGAATTGTCTTTTGTTGTCCTAAAGTGCTTTTGGCTCAAATGCCATTTCCTGAACACCTGAGGCACTGTTGCGCGAGAAATGCCTAGAATATTAGACTTTTCAGGGACTCTGGAAACAAGTCTTCTTGCACCCACTATTACCACGTTAAATCCCTCAGATATTTCCTCTTACCTATTTTCACTGTAGCCGCAGTGATAACTATTCTCTTTTAAAAAACGTGTGCCCTTGTAGAAGTTTCTGGCTGTTAAATCACTTATGTCATTGGCAGACTGGTCCATGTTAAAAAACAGTGTCTGTAATAATTTGGCTACTCAACGTATATGTTTTTGCTAGTGGTTAAACAAAAATACAGATGCATTACCATTCTTTCATAAACATTATTAATAGGTCCTTTAAAAAGAGTTTATCCTATTTAAGGTAGAAAAAGAATTAAACTTTAAACGTTTGTAAGAACTGTTATTATAAATTATGTCATTTTGTAAAATCTGTCCTAATTTATCTAAATAAATATATTGTGTTATCGTTAAAATTAAGTTTCAAAACATGATAAATATCGCAACAAAGCATTTTAAACATTTATTCATTTATTGCTGTTGCTTTAAATAGATATTCAATGCCCAGAAAAAGATGCTCAATTTCCTTATCCTGGAGATTGCTCACGTTACATAACTTGTAAGAATTATGAAGCTCATCTAAGGCAGTGTCCTCCAGGATTGTATTTCGATTCTTTGTACCTGTACTGCAGGCAAGACTTTGAAGCGGCTTGCGAAGAGGAGATTATAGAGCACAAACGTAAGTTACCTTCATTATAAAACTATTAACTTGTTTGGTGAAAGTATAAAGAAAATTTGAATTATATCATGATTAAATTCCAAATGATGAATGAAACCCAAACCTGTTAATTTTTGTAGAAGCTCTGGTTTTATGGTCAGTGCCTTTTTTCTAACAATCGTAATTCTATATTCATAATTTTATTTGATACTTAGACACGGAGATCTTGAACAGAGGAAATGAAGTGTTCAAGAACTAAATTCAGGGGTTCAAGCATTGGCCATCGTAAGACAATTTCAGAAGACCTTGACTAAACTGACAATTATGCGTAGTTTGGTTGAAGTACCTATTTTACTCATTTCAGGGTAAATATTTCTTGATGAAGCTTCACACTGAAGGTTTTTACTTCCTTGTACGAAGTAAAAAGGAAGTATTGTAATCGCGAAAAGTTTCAGTCAGCATATTTCAACGAAAATATCCATTTTGACCGCTATCGAATGCAATTTAACGATGTTTTTGCGTGATATCTGTACGTAAGGAGAGAATAAAAGACTTGTTTCCTCCAAAAAAATTATAAAACTGCTTTAAAATGAATTCTGAAGAGAATTTTTCGTGGCGTCTGTACGAACGTATGTACGTACGTGCGTACGTATCTCGCAAAACTCAAAAACGAGTAGCCTCAGAACATTGAAATTTTGTATATAGGACTGATATAACATGTAGATGTGCACCTCGAATTTTGGTTGCAATCGGCAGCACCAAACGTATATAAATATATTTATATATATATCCACTCTGCTACCCGGCTCAGTGACTCAGTTTCTTTACTCTTTTATATTTGTAATCGTACATTTTTTGCTTTAAAAATGATTGAATTATGTCGTTTTTGTCTTCCGGTTAAGGGTTTTATGCCTTTAGTAAATCTGTATGCAATATTTTTAGAATTATCAACAATTTAAAGTTGTTTAAGTGCCGCTAAGCCTTTTTTACGGCGGCCATTGATTGTAGCATTGTAGCAATCTTGCTTTTGAGCAAGAAGAAAGGAGGTGAGGAAAACTTAGCTTCGCAGCAACAAAGATAAAGCCTTCATTTATTATTGCCAATTAAATCATGCTTAATCCTTTCTGGAATTTTTTCGAGGAAATAAGTGTTTAAGATTTACTTCGTAATTTTTAATATAGATATTTTGAGTTTTTATGTATTTTTGCCTTCTCGCGAAGTGAGAACTGAATTAATTAAATGAGAAATACTCAATCGTCTGTGAAAAACTGTTTCTTTTTTGTTTTGTTTGCTTAATTTCTTTTATACATCATTCTAGCTTTATTATAGTATTTGAATAGAACATGTGGCAACGATTAGATAATTCTATTCTTTAAATGATACAAATTTTGTGCATTATGATTTATAATATGAACGAAATATAATACTGTTAAGTGAATCTAGCGCCAGGGTTTCGCTATGGTAAACAAATACTAGAGTGAATTTTAAAGAATGCATTTATTCTATTGTGGTTTATGTGCTGTCGGCGAAGTAGATTTAATTCAATCCAATAAGTTTAAATGAAATGCAAGAAAAAATGCGTATAATTTAATATTCCGTACAAGGAAGTCATGTAGTGTACACATCAGATTTTTTTGGGTCATTTTAAAGAAATGTTTCCCTATCTAGTGTCATTCTGAAACGTTTGATGTAAGTCATCTGTATTCTCTCCTATCTGTATTTGTTCTTCACTTCAAAGTTACTGAGGTATAATAGAACTTATATTTAGACAATGGATCCAGTTTCGTAGTGAACATGTTTTCTTACGGTATTCTGTTACAACACAATAATTGCAACCATCTGTATTTATTGCTCCTGTTTATAGAATGATTACGTGTTTTTCTCATTGCGTATCTTTGTTTCGAGTTCGTTCTCTGCCCCATCCGGAGGAGAATATTTCCTGCAAGATTGCAAAGTAATGCAAAAATAGCTTATTATGTATTTTGTATTCAGTAAATGTTTTCTTCAAAACTATTTAGATGATGGAAACATTATAAAAGAGGTGTTGAACCCAAAGATATCGCTTTGGTGCGTTTGGGGGGGAATGGTGTGTGTAAAATGAGGTTAAAAAAGCTGAAAAGTATTACGAAAAACAACGTATGAATACCTGACGAAATAATATACTTTTTTTTAATAAAGGAAAAGCGAAGCACAAAAAAGCCTTCAAGATCTGTCAACGAAGTTATTTTTCTTGAATAATATCGATTATTTTTACCTTTGCTCGTAATGTGTTACTAGAAGGTAGATTGGTAGGCAGCAGGCAGGTAGTAAAAGTGAGTGAAGCACCATTAGACTTCCCTACGGATCGCAAGATAACTCCCCAGAGCTCACTAACCATCTTTAGAATTAACCATTAATACATTGTTGAGATTGAATGGAAAAGGCGATGGGCTGTTGTTGAAGATGAGACTGCTTTATTTCTGATATCACAGTTGAGTATTTGCTATGCGATGTGCTCCGTAATACATATTCATCTGGGAAAATTCCTGCGTTATTGATTTCATAGTTGTAATGCCCATTGCTTTATTCATTACGTTGTGGATGCTGATTACATTCGGCTCGTTTTGCGTTATTCTGCCTTGTCAGTATTGAGGGGTTCTTTTTGAGGTGGAGTTCTTTTGTGAGCGACATTTGAAAGAATAATGATCCGAATCACCCAATTCTCTGCATGAGCATGTATCGGTATTTGCCAGGGTTCTTTTGCAGAAGTAAGCAGAGACTGGGCCATGACCGACAAATATTGCTTTAGGAAGCCTTGCGTACTTCTAGTGTGGTTGTCCACTTTTGAAAAGCAATCATGTATGCGACAACCGGTTGTCTCTCCGTCCTCTCTTGTTGACAGACATTGCATGTGTGTATTTAGTGTCTTAGAAGATGGCACGTCAAAGAATTGTTCTAGTTGCTCTTTTTTTTTACCGCCTTCTTTGCAAATACAACTGCCGCGTCATTATCTTAGACCATAATCCGTAATTTTCAGATATATTTGTATTTCTGCATATATTCTGGATATACTGCATCTCTGTGTATAGCTGTAGTTGACTGCTGATTACTTCATCAAATGTTATTTCTTTACTCAAACGAGAGAATGCTAAATATTCTTCCTATACCTTTTTTTGCGGGATTTTTCCTTTTCTTTTGGATTTACAAAAGTCTCTTCATAATAAAACGGACCTAATAATTTACTAACAGTTTAAATGCTACTATTTTCTTTCTATTTTTATTTAGATCTTTTCAAAAAGTATGGAATTTGATAATAAGTCTCTGAAATTTTAACAACTTCGGTTGGCTAACCTTCTGATCTTACGTAATTACATTTGTTTCCTTCTGATTATCGGCTTTTATACATTAGATTTTCCCTCCCTTTGTTCTGCCTACATTTGAGAGATAATATATTTAGTTTTCTTGTATTGCAGTTAGTCACTATTTCAAATTTTCTTATGTTTAATTGCTAATTGTAAATTTCGTTCACACTTTCTGCCTAGATCTATGCAATGAATTTTTTGAGTGATAACATTACGAATTACTTCTATTAAAGAAATGTTAACTAAGATTTGATTCGAGCTAGTTATAAGGAGGGAGTATTATTACAATATGAAAATCTTATAAAACTCTTCTTAAGTTATAATAACAATAATTCAGTTTGAACATAATCTTTTAAGAAAATTGTTAGCTTTAAAATACATTTCACATGTTTCAGAAAAATAATTGTTTATATGAAATATATAATCAGTTCCTACATATTTAATAATTATACTGTGAGTATATATACTTCTGAACAAAATCAATCTGAATTAAAAACTAGAATTTGACTCTTAAGATATGTACATTAAAAAAAGTAAACAACAAGTAATTTTTTGTCCTCTTATATCTTTTTGACGCACACCCTTCGATATGTTTTCGAAGAGATTAATTCTTTTACCTATAAATCTGAAAATTTGCATTCCGAATAGAATAGCTTTCGGTGCTTGTAGACGCATACAATTTACACTCTCAGTATTTTGATGGCTGCTCGTTTCGTCAAATCATTATAACTTGGGTAATAATTTTAACATTTATAAACGTGAGGAAATGCACGTACTGAAAGCGTGGATATACTTTCTTTTTCTTTCCGTCATCGGCAAAGCAGCTGGTTCAGTGGATTAGATTTTCATCAGCCTGTTGGATCCCATCGATAGAATTAACAAAAAAAAAAAAAAAAAAAAAACTACAGCTTAGTGTAGTGTCGTCCGGGGGTTAGTTGAAGAATACTGAAAGTAGGAGCGGAGTCAGGAAAGAAGATAGCAGGTGGGGGACACAGCTAATATTATATTATAGTATTAGTAGAGTATACAAATATAATAAGGCCAGGATGTAGATATAGGTACAGATGCGTAGATGGAATCAGTACAAATATTGAACATTGCACGCCAATCAAGATAAATATGCAAAATTATGCTATCACGAATGTACAAGGATATATACCAAGTCTAGGTATTGCTGAAGATAGTGCTTTACAAAAACTTAAAGTGTGGATGGAGGTAGTGACTGATCGATCTTGTCTCTTTGGAAATACACTAGATACATTTCTGAATTATTTTAAAAGCTAAATTTGCAAAATCTAAATTTTCATATTTTTAAAATGTCTCATTGCTGGCGATATTAGAAGTCGTAACAAAACACAAGATTTAAGCTCTAGTGTCATGGACTTAAGTAATGCTGTGAACTACATTTAATTTTAACATAACCATAAATTTGTTGTCCATAAACAAAAAATGAATGCCTGAACCTACTAAGAAATGTTTTATTGCAGCCCAGACGGTATAGTGTTTAGGGGAGCTGACTGCGGTACCAAAAAGCTCAGGTTCGAAACCCGGAGAAGGCATTGTTGTAAATGTCTGTTCCTTCATAGGACGTAAAGCTGTGACCACCACTTCTGGCCTTAGCCGTGGCCAAGGCGAATTGGTCTGAGGGACTTCCCCTTGGTCTTCGCATTGGTGGGGATTTAGGAAGTTCAAGAACAACAACAACCAAAGTAAAATAATAATAATAAAAAATGGTATCAGAATTTTTAGCAGAACTAATGCTTGTTCATCTGCTACGAATTAATTTCAGTCACAAAGTGCTCATGTGATGACAGAGCCATTTCGCTCAATTTTCCAACCGATTGAAGATTTGAGGGTATAACTATCGAATCATATGCGCTCATGATAAGCAATGTATAGCGCTGTGAAGGACATTAACCGTTTCACATAAAATTGAAAAACTTGTATTTTTATGAAATCTTAGAAATTCTCTCTTATATTCAGCATAAAGTCTGATGCTGTTCATTTAAATGCATTGCTGAAATTGGAAAGTTTTGAACTGAAATGATTAGACCACTGAAATTTGTATAAATAAATATAATCGAAAAAGAATACCAGTTAACACAATTAAATTTAGGGAAACATTTTGAGGAGCGTTCCAGAAAATTACCTGAATCTTTACATTTTCTTATGCGCACTTTTTTGGGCAATGTTTTTATATCATATAAAATTTTGCTATATATGTAAATCAAATGAAACGTTAGGAAATTTCAAAAGAAATATTAACTCTATTTTAAACAGAACTGCAATATGTCATAGTCTACTGTAAATAAATTATTGTAGAAAGTGCAGAATATGAAAATGATGTATAAATTTCTTTTTCATTTTAGGTTTATGCGGTACAGATGAAGAGTATCTAGAATGTAGTATAGGCTGCGAGAAAACGTGCAAGAATTTTGAGAAATATGCTCTTTGTTCAGATGTGTGCGTGCAAGGTTGCTTCTGCAAAAGTGGACTTGTTAGAGGTCCTCTTCGACTATGTATTCCCGCTGAATTATGCAAGGAAACTAATTCTTTATTTCCATGGTTTATGAATGATTTATAAGAAATTAATAAAATGTAAAAATTAATTAGTATTTCTTATTTTTAATATCTGATGTATAAAAGTGCGTACTATTTGACATTAACAAAATCAACATGTAAACATTTAAAGACCAAACACGCGAATGATTAAAATCCAATGGTAAGGTCCAAACTGCAGTGAGTCAGAAACGTATTGGGGCAGAACAAGTTTTTGGATATTTTTTGAGAGGAACGAAATACTTTTATTACATGCCATATCTGAGAGCTTAACGAAATCGAAAAACGTTAAAATAAATTTAAAATAAAAAAAAAATATTAAATTGTATTTTTTGTAAAAATGATAAAACAATGGTAAAAAAAGTACAAACTCACTTAAACTAATCTCTATAAATATTACTATAGTACTGAACTGGGCCATTCTTTTTATTAGTTCATTGAGCCTTGTTATAAAAATTTTTATATATTATTTCGTTGTGTACAATTATTGCGTATTATTTTACTGTGCATAAGGTATCCTTAGTAATTATATTATTTTACTCTGAACAATGAATTTGTAATGTTCGTATTTAAGAATTAATGTATAATATTTAGTATTGTTTAAACTTTTCCTTCAATTACGGCAAAGCTCTTTTAAGTTTGGCTGAAGATGTGTTACAGCTAAAACGGCGTGGGTTTATTCCCGTATCTCACGAATTGGGCTTCTTGTGGGGGTCAGGGGTCGAACTGCCCAGCTCCATTTTCCTCTTTTCGCGGGGTTGATCACATCTTTAGGGTGTGAAGACGAGAAAGTATTTCGGACTTTCTGAAATAGAGAACTGGGTGACGTATTTATTACCTACGGATGTCGTAAGTTTAACTGAATTACGATTGAAAACATTCTTCTGTTGCGCGGGAAAGAAAGGGTCTGCCATCTTGTAGAGAGTTCTGAATTTCTTCGAATTCTAGAGGCTATATATTGCCTCTGTTCTAGTTGGCTAGAGGGAGTTCAAGTTTTGCTTACGATTGGTTAAATTTTAATTTTAGTGTTGTTTGAACCAATAGTGATTAGAGGCGTTTACATTGTGAGCATCTACCGAGCTTTCTTAAGCCGTTGCACGATAGGAGGAGGGAGAATTTTGTGAGATTTGATTCAGTTTTGATCTACTTTTGAGAAGAGCGTAGCCCCGCGACCCTTTGTGGGCGACCGCGGTTGCGGTTAATATTGCTTAGCTCTGAAGTACTGGCTGCGTGGACCGGTCCGAGCTTGTCGGGGGCTCTCTTCGGATAGACTTCGGCCAAAATGGACGGAAGATTTGGGGCTAGATCCAGCGTCTTCTCTGACCGGCAATTTTTGATTGAGAATTATGTCTCTGACGTTTTCCACTTGTGGAAAACGTGGAAGAGTTGAGTCTGAATTGCTCACACTGAAGTTCCAGTTTACTTTGGAAACTATGGAAAAGAGGGAAGTCATCATCTTCTGATGTCTGCTGTGGTCTGTTGTCTGCTGCTGTCTCCTGTTGTCCATCTCCTTCTGTTATCTTCAGAGGAACTTCGGAATAAAAGAGAAGGCTAACTTTTGAGTTAAAATGCTGCTAGACGAAGGATAATTGGGGAACTATGAAAAAAAATTCCCGTTGTGCTTCCTGTTGAACTGACTTCAGTATCGGTTTTCTTGACAACGATGAAGTTTTGGCAGTTATTGTTTCGACATTTTATGACCGGATTGCAGCTCCTCGAGTCCCTCAGACTTGTGTTACGCAGAATTTCGTGAGTGTAAAGCATTAAATTTACGTTTTTTTTCTACGTAACAGTCTTCTAGGCATCGATTTGATAAGATTTTAATTAAAATTTTCATCTATTTTTTCCTATTTTGGGGTGAGCTTCCCTTCAAGTGAATTTCTGTTGATTTTGTCTTGCAGATTATTCCAAGCATGCTCAATACGATTGATGGGATAGGTATGCAAAGTTCACGGTTTGCAGATATGAGCAATGTACTTCTAATAAGCGTCCAAATAAAATTTTAATTCAAAAATAGATCCATTTTCGATGTATCTGTACTTAAAGTTTATAAAATATTCAAATACATAAAATTGTATATTTTGGCATCAACAAAATGTAGAATTCAAACATCGCAAGCACTTATATAGCTCAAGACCGTATGGCTACACTAAAGCATGGTGGAGGAGTAAGAATCTTCATCTGAAGTCAGAATTGGGCTTTCACCACACCGTTTTCTTTTAATTACTCTTAAAATATTAAATTTACTTTAATATGAAAATATAACCATATTCTAAAAATTCTTTTCATAGAAACGTATTGAGTTATAATCATGCTCTTCCTTTCGCTTTAAAGAGAAATGGATTTTTCTAGTTATTCCGCTATAAACGTTGTATTTTCTCAAGATATTTGTAATTGTTTCTACCCCACAAGATGAATGAATAATGAAAAACTGACAAGTGAAAACAAATGAGGATGCATCGCTGGAAAGATTTCAACGCAAGGGCGATTATATCCGAGTTGATTGCGGAATTAGTTTAATACGATCGCGGTTAATGTTAACATTCAGATACTGTTACTGTATTGGTAAAGTCCCGCCCATTTGTATACGAAAACATAGAAAATGTATAGGTAATACATAGGAAAATATATAAATCGCCAAAGAAGGTCGAAATGCATTATAAAAATTTACACATGCAGAGAAATTTCACGTAATAAAAGATCAAATGGCCAGATGTTTTGATTTCAATTTTAGTCAACCAATAAAAATACAAATAAGAAAAATACCTTAGTCTTAGTTGATTTTCAATGACTCTTGTTTGATTCGACAATCGATTTTAAGGGGATAAAACCAGCTCCATTTCTTCAGGAGAAAAAAAAATCCTGACTAAATTTTGTTTCCTATAAAATATAGAAAAGAAAACATCTTAGTCAAACTAAGGTTGCTTTTTTTGCCTAATTTTAACTTTCAATGAGAGATGCCTTCCGAGTATTAAAATTTACAGTATCGGAGAAATAATTTTGCCAAATAATGAAACGTTCATAAATGAAAAATTGTGAAAGTATTTATTTTTATCTCTCTAGTTATATTTATATTAGATTATTAAAGTTCCACTCCAGTTTTAAAGAATTCTTTTTCTCATTCCTTAATGTTTTCAAAATAGCTATGGACAAATGTGATCATATGAAGCGGCGCCTACTGAATAAGGATGTTTTAATACCAAAGTAATAGTGTACACTAGGAGATGAGAGAGTTTGACATTAGGCAAAGACTGTTTGGTCTAACGTTTTTTTATTTAAAAATTTGTTTAATAATGTAAAATCAATTATCAACAAAAATTAACATTTTTTGTCTTCTTTTTATTAGGAATTTCTATTCATTGGAACATTTATCAGCTTTTATGAATTACGTAAGAAAATTAACTATACCCAGAATAGATTTTATTTTAGTAAAAGTGATTTAATGTTCAATACTATTGCCTTAATCAGCTGCAATATATATGCAATAAAAATTTCAAATATTTTTTGCCATTAAATGAAAGACAAGTACTAAAATAAAAAAGAGAAATGGATGAATTTTCTAGATTTTGCTAACATCAAACACCAACTTATCAGCAGCACAGTTAAGCATAATTTGTCTAATATATAGCACTATCAAAAATTGATTTAAAAAACCAGTTTTTAAGGTTGTTCTAAGAGGAGTTCAAAAAAGCTATAGCCAACAATACACACGTGAGGAATGCTCTATAAAAATTCATTTTTTGGAATATGTGACAGTTGACGGCAGGTTGAGACAACATAAGGAATGTTTGACAAAAATAATGTAAATAATGTTAAAAAAGCTATAAATGCTAAAACAGACGTCTAATGCTAATGACGTCTTAATTAGAATCAGAGCTATAAAAGAACAAATTTTGCAAAATTTATGTCATTAATAAAGTTTATAATTTTTACATTATTTAATTTATTATTTTATTATTAAATTCACATATTGTTATTATTAAGTATTATTTATTGATTTATATATTATTATTGTTATTTTTCTTAATTAATTTAAATTGATAAAGAGGCTGATTAATATGATCACCCAAGTCTCAATCTCAAGAGATCCCACGTTTAAAGGGAACCCAAATCATTAATTAATTAAAAAAATATCAAACATGCCCCCTGGCTTTAGATGAAGGGTCCACAGAAGTTCAGGTTGAGAACGACCCTACAAATTCCTAAATCAATTTGCTGCGTACAAATTGTTGTCTTAAACTCCTCCGCTTAATAAAGTCTAGCACTTTTTGTGTGTTCAAATTTATTAAACTATACTATTTTGCGGAACTAGTGCGACTTTAGTGAGAGTTTTGAAAATGTTAGGTAAGGTGAAAATGTTAAGCCTTTGTACAGCACATAAATTACTCCAAGACTGACGATTCTATAACAAATAAAAAAAATCTGTCCTTCACATATTAGGAAGTGTATATTTCTACACATTATCATTATAGCAAACGAATTCGAAATATAACCGCTGACTTCGAAATCATCTCAGAGTGGAGAAGGTCATAATCCAGAACAAGGTTCTGCAAACTCAGAAGAATTCAGTGCGTAACGGGAAAACGAAAGCTAAGCATATTTATGTAGGCATCACTTTAAGCGGATCAGCACGATGCAATCTAAATAAAATATTGACTCAAGATCTACAGGCGGACATCACGTGCTATCTAGAAATAAAATCTGAAGATAACTCAGATAAAAGCGATAGATTAACTTCCATAAAGTAAATTCCATAAAGGAAAGAAATTATTTATGATTATTTTTAAGAATATTCAATTCTTAATTTGTTGTAATAATTATTGAAACTATTAATATTGCATGAAAAATAAAGCAAGCCACAGTTGCCATTGTTAACCAAAGTTTTTAAAATATATCTAATTTCGCCAAAAGAAATAAAACAATACAGTTTGGTTCTTTTGATTAAATTATTTCTTATTTCTTGAATAATTTAATATTTTCTTGAATAAAAACACCCTAAGCAAATTAGTGCTACATTTAAAATAAAGATTTATTAAAAATAACATATTAG